GACGCACCTAGGTAGAAATATCGACGAGGTACACTGTTCACCTATTACCGTCGGATGTTTCTCTGAGCTGAAAGTGTTATTTGCAGACCTTTCGTAGTCAGGCTACCTAATAACCTCAGTACGATTTCGGGAACTGTCAGTCCTCAGTGTGATCGGCATTATATAGTTTTGCTAAAAGGAGACGTTCTGGAAGTATTAAAATAAACATGGTTGAAAGGATAGCATGCGGACTTAGGTTGAAAATGGGAAGCAAGTGAGGCACTAATGAGAGAAAGATGGATAATGATGGAAAATGGTGTCATCTACGAAACAGGACATGAAATGAGGGGTTTCGATAGACTATTACAAAATAGATGGGCGTAGGCGTTGAACCTTGGGGAACACCAGCATCTTTTTATTATTACACACCCACGTGTGACGAACAGCAGACGGGGGGGGGGGAACGCCATAGTCACGAGGACCTGCTGATCATTGATGGAAACCGGTAACTTAAACCGAGGGACTTGGAGTGGCGAACCACATATAAGGCCCCGATAGGTTAGGCGTTGTGTTGAACCGGACGACAGCAAAGCTGCCTACCACCAAAGGCGGGTGGCGGTGGCGGGGCTCGAACCTCGGACCATGAGGTCTAAAGCACGCCGGTGACGTGCAATGGCCGAGATAGGACTCCCATCGACTCCGGAGATAGTTGATTTGCTGAAAAAACATTGGTGCCACAATGAGTGCAAGGTGGAATCCGAACGGGAGTACTTCAACAGCAATAGAAAAATCGGACCAGACCAAATAAGTTTCTCCGGGATTAATAAGTGCAACTGATCAAGAATGCGAGAAGAAAGCCAAAACGTCGTTCGCGAAATCCGTATTGATGATTATTTGGAACAGAAGTGGGGGTGGGAAATTTATAGCATTAAACCATGAAGTGGAAAAGCACTTGAAACTGAGGGAGAAGTGGGGAAGACGGCGGTATTGACGGTAACCACGGGGGAAGGGGGCATATTTTTCGGATGGGAGAAACACTGATCGGACCCTGTGGGCTGCACACATGTGATCCAGGCAATTTGGCGGGGAAACCCTGGTTATGACGC